AGTGGCCACTGCTTCATGACACAGTACTTCGAGTCCGGTTTGAGCTCGATCTCGTGTCGAGTGCCTTTGTCCTTAGGCAACTCGCAAGGTACTGATATAGGGAACACATCCTTGAATTCGATCAAATCCTTATACAAAGGATTTTCCTGAAGTGACTCCCAGGATTGAGACGTGTATCGCTCAATCCGAGTCTTCTCATCGATGACACTTTCGTCCATTGATGAGCTGCTGGGAATCCGTTCGTTCTTAGCAAACACTGTCGCCGATCGAATATCGATAACGTACTCATCCTCTGTGACGAGTATGCAGATCTGCTTGACTTTGCCACTACGCAGATCACGCAAGAACCGTTTCGGTTCTAGCGTTGGCAACTGAGTTATCTCCGAAGTTAACTTCGAAGGCACAATCAGATCAAGCGTATAAGCGCCTACACTTGATCCATCATTAACCAAGACATTCAGTGTCTCGGTTACTTCCTGGGAACTTCTTTTCACAGGTTGCTGAAGGCCTAACTCTTCAGCAAGTGACTCTTGAGGAATTCCTTTCTCAAGTACGTGGGGACTTATTCCCTCGACGTCTTCTGACTGTGGCTGTGCAAATACAGTCAGGGACCGATCCTCTACGGTCGACTCTCCAGTCGACCTAGGATGTCCATGTTGCCCTTTGGAGGCAACAGGTTTCTTCTGTCTAAGATGCTGCCCGCTAGGCATGCATCCATTTCCCGGTCCACTCGACTTATTCGAGTGGTGGACCTTCGGCGCAGCCTGTACTTCTGTACAGCCTCCGGGAGACTGTTCCACAGTGTAGTGATCAACTACACTGTGATCTTGTGCAGTCGTGCTAACGACCGAACCGCAAGTGAGGCCATCGCACTCACTCGCAGAACATCCACACGCTTGTGGACGCTCCAAGGTGTTCATTAGATGGCCATATGATGAACAAGAGGCAGGCATCTTTAGGGATCGATGCTACCAGATCACCCTTGGCTCGTACTTTCTGAGCCAAGGTAATCCCAGGATGACATCAAATTTGTCATCCAGATCTAGTACCATGAAGTCATCGTCGTACTGTTCGCCCTCCAACATGTAGTGCATTCTTTCTACACGTTTCTCAACGGTAATCGATGCGCCTCTTGCAAGGCACACCGTCATCTTCGTGAGGGGAATGTCGCGCTCAACGAACTTGAGCCTACGACCCTCTAGTGACTGGCGACGAATAAAATTGTTCGACGCCCCACATTCGACCAGAGCAAGAAGTGACATATCATTTGTCGCTTCCAACTTCAAGGTGATGAGCGAAACGTCATCATCAGGTGCAGAGACACACAATGATTGTGTATCTGGAGCAACTTTCGTCAAGAGATTTGCAAATTCTCTTGAGGTTGCTGGATCAGTTAGGGCGCTCCGCCCCTAATGACCCCGGCCATTTTTTGATGGTCCGTCTCGCTGTTACGGTTTCGCAACAGCGCTGGACCCACGCCCATTGCCCTTTATGGCAAATGGTCGTCCGTTTCGCTCAGTACTGTTTGGTACTGGGCGTGGAGCACTACACTCATATGCGTAGTGCCCTAACTTCTGACAGCGATTGCACCTCTGCAATCGCTTGTTGTTCATAGAGCGAGGTCTCTCGCCCTCAACATAGCAGAGGTCCATTGGTTCTGGACCTCCGATCTCTTGTCGTCTTTGTGGACGGTAAGAGTTTGAGCTAGCATGAGCCTGTCTCATGCTAAAGTCTTCCTGTTTCGCGGCTGATATCGCTTCTTTAAGCGTATTCAGCTCAAGGCGGAACAGGTGGCTCCTGACGGGCCCTTCTGCGAGCCCTTGCATGAACACCGTAATCAACGTGCGTTCATGAACTGGGTTAGCAGTTATATTACTCGCTAGGAGTCGTATATGATGTGCGTGAGCGTGCACATCACGCTTACCCTGCTTGAGTTTCAGGAGCTCAGAACGAGCCCTGAAATCAGCTCGTGGCGGCTCAAACGTTTGTCTGAGCCGGGACTTGAAGTCATCTAGCGACCTAAACACATTTAAGTCGCTACTCTCGAGTCCCAGGGACCAAGTTTTGGCACGCCCTGCCAAGTGGGTCTGAGCAAATGTGAGTTTCATTTGCTCATCTTCGACGCGACGAGCCCTTAAGGCTCTGTCGAGTTCGACAAACCATAGTAACAGGGAGTCTTCCGGGACTCCACTGTACTTGGAGATGTCAACCTTCATGACCTCGGGACGACGCGCATGCGCCGTCCCGCCCACAGCAGCATGGAATTGCTGCTGCCTCAACAGCTCTGTCGGTTGAGCACCGAGTTCTCTTAACTGCTCGGCCTGTTGAGAGCCTTGCTGGTGAAGCAAGACTACTTTCTCCCTTTCGGCGACAAGTTCACTTTGGATGAACTTGGCGATAGCGGCATGTTGTTGGTATCTGTATAGAGACTTCAACATGGCGCTAATGGCGAACTCGCCTACGGGAGAACTCATTCGTTCTACCGCACCCCATTCGATGTCACTCAAATGGGTAAACCCTTCACGCGTGGCGTGAAAGGTCTCTTCATCATCCAACGTGTTCATGTTGGATGTTGTGGTCCTTGGAAGGACTACAAAGTGCTACCAGGTGTAACGGGGCACACCCTTGCGTGAACTTAACTCAAGGGTTTCGGGTGCCCCGACAGACGTACACGAGGCGAACGAGGAAGCGTAGGATAAGGAGAACGTAAAACTGTTGTATTAATATAATTAAGTCTTTTTGCTACTGTCTCTTTGTTTAACCTGACTTAATTATGTTAATATAACTCAGTGTATGGTGACGTCTCGTCACCACTCATTGCGCGCGTCCTGCGGCGATTGGTGGGTTGATATCATCACGATATCAACCAATGAGCAGACCCTTTGGTCGCTTCACCAATATCACCATTATTGGTGATATTGTTCAAAGAATATTTACGTAATATTCTTTGTTGTCACTTTCTTATAAAGTGACACTTCCATGTGACGGGCTGCCCCGTTACAGTTACAGCCCACCACTGTAATTGTTCATGGCTTTGATGGTCATAGAACGAGCTGTTAAACGCTTGATCTATCAACTTGTTGAAGGCTACCGTTTTGCACGGAAGACTTAGTGGAGAGAGCACCATCGCACCAACAAGACTGGTTTGCAGCTTATCGCGGCTATATGCATGGTCTACAATAGCTGCTCTGGTGTTCGCGTACAGATAAAAGTAGCGAACCTGGCTTTGTAAGATACATTGCTAGTATTGGCTCTGTGACCATTATAGCTCACAAAACATCAAGAACTAGAGGACAGCAATGGTAAAAGCCAACGCAAACGCGCGGGGAAACTGTAATGTCATGATTATACTTTGCATCACCTCAAGCAGTCGGCAAACTCCTTCCTTCTTGTATAGAAAAGCGTGCTTTCGGACCACGATCATTTGCTTCAGCTCTGGCCCTCTCGAAGCTGCGCGTGCTGCATATGCCATCTCCAGTGAACCAACAGCTTTGTCTAGAGAATGAAGGTGCTAGTGGCAGAGAAAGGGTGAGAAACCTCTTGACAACGCATCGGCAAACCAGGACAACGCTTTCAGAAGAAATGACAGAAAACGAATCGGCAACTGACAGCTCAGCTACCATCTTTGTGGGGTCGTGCTTGAATATAAATTCCGCCCGGGCCTTTGTCACAGCTCGGTCTGCTACTTTACATCCTGTAGCCTCAATAATTCCATTCGATCATAGGTGTGGTTGCGTGCGAATCTGTTTCGTCCGTTTTGCATTTCCAGATGTTGTAGTGGCGCCCCATCTCAGACGCCACATTTATCGACTCGGGATCCGAAGTTGGCACCTGATTGAGGTTCTCACAGCGCTCCACGCCATGAGCTATGCATGATGCGCGATGAACAGACAAACATGCTTGCTTTTCAGTCTTATCCTGTATCTCAGAGAGAAAGCACGAGCTTCGAATGGCACAACAATTGAGCTGGTGATTGTGCATTCCAAAGTAAGACTCAGTTGAATCTCCTCGAGCAAGAACTACAATTCAACAGTCTAGTGGTCGCGCCGTATGCTGGAAATGTAGCTTGGACATGTGACTAATGAGTCCAAAACTAGGTACATCATAGCAAAGTCCACGAGTACGTTGATCACGGCACCTATGCGATGCATTTTCCAACGTTTTTGCGTAACGATCAACGCTGGACGAGGGCTCCGAGGACCGCTGGTCAGCAACGACAATCAGGTTTGGGATATGCTGAGGATTCGGCTTTTGCAAAGTGCGTTCTCCTACTACGAGATTCTTTACTCACGCGTTTGGGTCCTCGACCTGCCTGCAGCAGCATATCGAAAGCAGTCACTAAAGTGTCCAGGCAACTATCTTAAGTCACTTGCTGCTGCTAGAGTATCCTCTCTTGGTCCGAGCGTCGCGGTGCCATATTAGCCCAAACAACGCTAATAACTTACACCGGGCTTCGAGATACTACCGACGACATTTATTTCGTACACCTCAGACTCGAGATCTGTCTTGCAAGACACGTCGATCGTGTTCAGCTGTTACTTGGACTGTAGTAGTGCTAGATCACAGCACTGTATATCTGGCTCGCATGCCACCATCTCCTCGGCATAGCTGTCCAGGCAAGTAGCTCAAAAGCAGCGTCCGCATACCCGCCAGCACAGAAGCTTCACAATGCAGCTGCAGCGCCTGTGTGGTAGCACAACAATCGTATAGGTTTTGAGAAGCTCGAAGCTTTCTGTAAGGACTGCACAAAAGCAGCAACCAGTCTTTGGTCTCGATCAGACACATAGTATGTCGGATGAAAGAATACGGCGACTTCAGCTCCGTGCACTGATAAGTGCCTTTTGTTCGTATGTGATCTGGTGTTGGCTACCATTCATTTAATCGATGTGTGGCTCGAAAGCAGGTACGCCTACGATAGCTCACGAAGAGTTTCAGCCAATCATCTTTCGCGAAATCAACCCAAGCATCTGTCCACTTCCAGTGGACAAACTCCAGCGAAAATGGCCGACATCCAGAACTTCCAGACCTTTGGTACGATGCGACTGTCTCGACGCTAGTGAGACGACACACGGGGCGCTAAGATGACACGTTGTTGCGCTCTCTTCTTGTGACCCACAGACGCGTTTGCTGATGCCAAGGACGACTCGAGTATCGGCGGCGGCAAAGTGCACGTGCGCGTGCAGCAGCGCAATGGCCGCAAGTGTCTGACGACGGTACAGGGCCTGGCCGACGACCTGGACGTGAAGCGCATCCTCAAGGCTTTCAAGAAGAACTTCAGCTGCAACGGCGCTATTGTCAAGGACGATGAGCTGGGCGAGATTATCCAGCTCTCGGGCGACCAGCGGACGAACATTCGCGAGTTTCTGCTGGACCAGGAGATCTGCATGGACGCCCAAGTGGTGCTGCACGGTTTCTAGGCTGGTCAGGGACAACCGGTGCAGCATGGTCAACGGCGGCCAGGAAATGCCTGTAGTCGAAAGGGCCTTGTGGGGCGGACAGGCCTTCCTGTGCTGCTGCTCTCCGTAAAGCGACGGTTTGAGAAATATATTTGATGGTTTTTACTCATCGAAAGGGCTCAATGCGTTACTACGATTGCAGCTCTCCAAGCCATGTTTGCTTCTGCGTGCGATCCGAGGTACGAGCGCAGCAAGGGCACTCAGTGCACGTTGCGCTATCTAGCGCAGCATCACTCTCTATGTACGGTCGCTGATCTTGAACTCTGGGAACACGAGGTCTGGCTGCCAGATTCCCTGGATGGTCGGACGCTTCGAGATCACTGGTTTCTTAATGTGCGTCATTTTGCGGCCACTAGAGTTGCGTAGACGCTCGAGCTATGGACCCAACGATCGTAATGCACAAGTTCACGGCAACACGTCAGTCGAAATAGTAACAAAGTGCACACTACTCACTCAGCTACTACTTGCTGATGATCCGCACACGAGTCCAAGCACAAGCCGCACCTGCTTCATAATGAAGGGAATGTCCTGGTTCTTGAGGTCCGAGACCTTGCGCTCATTCGTCACTGCAACAAACGTGCGTCAGCGGCGTCAAGTACCTCGCAGTAGCCTCAATTTTGCATGCACTCCTGCGCCTGCTGCTGCACGCACCGTAGTCGCCAATGACAATGGGGTGGCGTGCACCTTTGAGCTCTGTCTCGAACTGCACCTGCGGGTTCTCCTCAACAAACTTGAGAAAGCGCTCGTCGCTCAGTAGTTGCCGCACGTAGCGGCTACTGCCGCCGTGTTGGCAGTACCGAATCGTCACCTTGTTGAGCTGCCACACGCCTTTGGTCGCCATTCTGAGCACCTCTGCGTGACGAGTGAATCGTTTGGCGTTCGCTGGGCGATGTGCGCCACACCACATCGATCCCCACGACGTGTTTTGTATAAAAAGCAAAACGAAAAACAACCACTGGCGCGAGCACAGAGTGATGGTCTGCCGCACTGCGGTTGTCGTCGTCGTTGCAGTTGGTCGCTATCCCATTGCGCAATTGGCAGCCGCACCGACAAGTGCGTCATGGCAGCAGCGCGCGTGCCATCGCGAGGCGCTGACGACGCAGAGAAGAGCGAAGTCGGCAGCATGTTGCAGCTCGTGCGTGGCCACGAGCGCAAGCACGAGGACCCCACGCACGACTCGCGCTCGCCCGCTGCGATCCACCAGTGCAAGACGATGCTGACCAAGCTGCGGAAAGTGCTGCTGAAGATCGTGCAGCGGGTGGCAGCGCTGCCGACGGCGAGCGCCGTGGCGGTGCTGCAGGACGTGTGTGCGCTGCTGCTGCTCCTGCTGAACGGCCGCGTCTGTCCGCACTCGATGACGCTGTTCACCAAGAGCAGCAACGCAGCGGCGTCATCGGCCGTGCCACGCACGCCAGCGATGTCGTCGGGCGTCCCGTCGTACCCGACAATGGCTACATTGCTGCTGCACATGGTGTCGTTCTACACGAGCGAGCGACTGCGACCGGCACAGCGCGACGTGCGTCGCGTGACGCTGCGGATGGTGCGGTTCCTGCAGCAGCACGACGTGTACGCGTTCGTGCACTTCTTTCAAGATACTGTGCAGTTGGCGGAGGACTGTTTCTTGCTCGAAGAGTCGCTCGCAGCTCGACACGGGGCAGAAGGTCTGCCAAGTGGAGCGAGGATTGCGTACTATCTCGATACAGCGATGCATGTGTACCAAGACGCAGACGGTCCACTAGGTACGAACGGCAAGCTCATACTGTGCGGGTGCTTGCCGATCGTAGACGTGAATGAGCTGCATGAGCGCAGGGAGCAATTGAAGCAACTGCTGCCGTCGATATACGTTGGCACGTATGGAATGGTTGTTGTGCTCCGGCGCTCTGTGGTTGTGCTCGTGAATCATATCATTTGTCAACATAGCGCGTTGCTGGAGCGAGACGTCTATTTTGACCGACTGTGCCTGCTCGTGGAGCTTTTCGTCGTGAAGAATGAAGCACTTATAAATACTACCGAGGGTGCAAACGTGGATGGTGCCATGCCAAGCCAAGACGTCGAGGATGTCACGCGAAGCACGCTCCGACTGCTGCACACGATGCTACAGATGAGCATGTCCACAGAAAGACGGTTTGTCCGTCTGGCTTTGATATACTTCACATGCAGTCGATTTCACGAAACGAACCCGCGAATATCACAAGTGTGGGCTCTTATTGCTCAGCTTGTGAGCGAAGCTTTCCCCCGTCTTTCCTCTTCGACGACAGATGCTCTGTGGCCACATTTTGAGCTATGGGTAGCTGAGCATTTATGCATCGTCCGAGGTGCCAATCACGAAAGCAGAAATGGTGTGAAACTGATATTTTCGATGTCGGCGCTTTCGATTTTGCGCGTGTACACTCGGGAATCCAACGCTTCGCCACCCATGTCATTATTTATGGAATTTCTGGACTGTCTCGACGCGCAAGTATACAATCCAGCTCTTGCTTCTAGTGTCATCGATGGCGTTCACCATATGCTATCGACAAAGGAAATGCTGACAAAGGTGGTCCGATATATATCCGGGGAACTAATGAGCAACAGTTCTGACAGTGCTGTAAGACCAAGCCAGAACGTCAATGCAGCAAGAAAGCGAAAACGAAATGAAGCGTCCCTAGACCAGCACCGACTATCTTCTGGTATGAATTACGAGTGCAGTACCGAGTTACACGAGAAGCTGGGGCAATGGATACTAGACCTCATGTCGGTGAACAGTAACGGTCAGAAAAGCATAGTGGCGATTTCACTCACTTTGCGGGTGATCATGCCTCTTCGTCGCTACATTCTTGCCTTCGTTCGGCTAGAAAGTTTTGTCCTATTCCGGACACTGCTTCAGCGTGTCGATTTGATTGTGAATAGCTATGCACCATCTCTTGTCTCGCTTTCGAGTGAGTACCTGGACTTATGGATCATTGTGCTGCGGTATTTTGCCAACCACGAGCTTGAAAAATATCATGGTTTGATGAACAAAGTGATTGACAGTGTAGAGAATCAGCACGTCTTTGCACGAAGTCTTATACAGGACAAGGAGTTTGTAGTGCCAGACTGCTGGGAGTATTTGGCTTTCTTGGATCTATATCAGCGTCGTCCGAACTGCCATGATATGTCTTCGTCAGAACGACTGGATGAAGTATCGTACGATTATCTCCGCAGCGCAGATGTCGTACTCGATGGTATTTTTCAGCAATCTGTGGCCCTCCGCGGACCGTTCTTGGTTTACTTTGTATGGTCACGTCCTGTGGTGCTAAACATCGCTGACGAGGATTCATGGCGCAACGCTGTTCCGTGGAAAGCTATTTGTCGGGCCATATCACAACAAGCATCACGACATGAGACTGCATGCTCCTATCTCGCCATGACTCCTCTACTAGCATTCTTTGTCGTGGCGGGCTCACTCACATCGCCAGAAAAAATGGCTGTATGCATGATGGAGAATTTTCGTGACAGGGTTCAACGCATGGGGTCAGAACTGATTTCGTTGGCCGTAGTACAAGCGTGCGGCGCAGTGATGTGTGCAATGGCTTACGCTCAAGCGTCTAAGGATAGTACAACTAACTTGCGTGGCAGGAAACACAACGCTTTTCGCTTCCGCGCGAAGAGTTGTCAGTGCCATGACATCTGCAGCAGCCCCCAAGCGATGCCGGTTTCACTAGCTTTATTTGAGCCGCTCATTTGCGACGAGGCAAACGCTGCTACTGAAAGCATGCAAGTTGCAAGAACCTATGCGCTGTCGAGTGTGCTCAAGCATTGTAAAGTTGACTACGGAAACGATCAAACAGCTATGCGATTTGTGGAGCACTTTCTGGCCTGCTTCGCGGATCCGTCTGTACGTGTTCATCAAGCAGTGCTGGAATCGTTTGCTCGTCAACCGCGTCTTGTCGAAGCAATGGTTGATCCAGCAAGAAAAGACTTAGCTGGCCTGACGGAACGCTTGGAGTCGTATGCGATAGCGGGAGAAAGCAGTGTTGACGATACGACTGTTGCAGCAATGGTACTGACGTTGGGGGCTGTAGGTTGTGCATGTGACCCGCGGCAAGAGAACCGTAGGGAAAGTTGCATATGGATTCTTCTACGATTGGTGTCTTTGTGGAACCGCTTTTATCTTGCGCATCGCGAGCGGTGTACGGCAGTGGCTTATGACCAGCTTTGTCGTATCACTGCGCACCATCGGGTCTCGTGGAGACAACTGTGCGTAGACTTCCCTGACTTGACCTATTTTCGCCTTGTCGATGAACTGCTGAAGACACAAACCCTCAAGCGCTTCCTCAGTATATTCATGGACGGCAAGGTAGCTACAAGAGGATTTTTGCGCGCGAGTGCACCGCACGTACTTCCAAAATACGTTGTCCACCAAAATGAACGAATGTTGCATGCGTTTGTGGACGAGTTGAACGGGCAGAAAGAAAACACTTTGATGACCGAGAATGATGCAGATAGTGAACCTGTGTTGGGCATTACCGAACTTCTTTCGAATCACATTGCGTATGTACTGAAAGGTCTGATTATGCATCAGGTGTCGACCCAGAATGGCTTGACAAAATTTGAGTTTCTGCTCAAGTTCTTGCCAGAAGACTCTAACGTTCGTGATATGATTACCCGTTCACCGTTGCGGCTGATGAGCTTGCTAGCGTGGGAACTCGGTGGGTCTCGATCTCGCGTGGCCAAGCACGCGATACGAGAAGTGGCAAGGATCATGCATGTTTGTACGCGAGAGGCGTTATCGATTGGACACGATGCAAGTTTGCTGCTCGTAGAGGAATGTATGTCTCTGCACTATTTCTTGCCACTCATGACAGACTTGGGGAATCGAATCATCGACACGAAAAATCCCAGTATTGCTAAAATTCGGGCCATCAAGAGCATTGACCGGTTACTGGAAATAGTCAGCGGTTCCTGTGCAGACTCGAACAGCACACAAGGTCGTGGAGTCGTCGATCCTTTTTTCCCGAAAGTGATGGCGACTTTGAAGGTCGGCCTTACTGAACGTGGACTTCGGGGACACGCGATTCAAGCCTGGTGCCGTTTCTTGCGAATGTTGTCATCGAAATCGTTAGGATCCAACTTGATCTCCATCGTAGTCAGCTTGCTTCCGTGCTTTGGCTACGAGACGTCGGCAATTCTGGTCGAAGATAGTTCCGTTTCTGGCAGTCACTGCTGGAATCTCGAGTCTCTCGAGCATGCTACAAGAAAGGGCTGCGCACAAGTCATATTACCAAGAAATCGTGAAGAAGCTCAAGCCAAGTGTATGATGGCAGCCGTGGATATTCTACGATATTTGTTCATCGAAAAGCAAGCGGAGCTAAAGCATGCGTTTCCAAAGATTCCGTTGCTGCCTTCCATCCCGGAACTCGATGACATTTACGTCGTGCTTTATAAGGATGGCGGAGACCCAAGATGTCGGTCTTTAAGTGAATATCTGATGAATCTATCAGCCTACATCAACCACCTTGACACGGCTGTTCGCGAAATGGCTCTGACACAATTGCTGCGATGTCTGGTTGTACGTGGCGCAGAGCTAGGGGCGTTCATGCAGAACGAAGGAAGCATTTTCATCGACAGTGTGATTGCTACCGTGCTGCGATCTGTGCTACAGCTCTTGAGCACAGAAAGAAACGAATCTGTAAAACTACTGTGCGCTCGTTGCTTGGGAGCATTGGGCGCAATCGATAGTGCCCGCATACCGCTAAATATGTTCAACACAGCAGGTGGACCCCAGGGGGGCACTGCAGGAGCCAAAGAGAAGTTGTGCCATAAAGTTGAGTATTCGACGAAAGATTTAGCATGCGTGCTCATCGAGTCATGGTTGGTAAATGAGCTTCGCGCCGCACCGGAGAATATGGACTCGTTGGGATTCGCCATTCAGGAGTTACTGAAGTTTTTGGCAGACTTAACAGCAGACCCACAACACAGTGGGCAAAGCTTAGCCTCGATGAACAATCTTGGTCCATCGGATACGACAAAACACGATGCCGGCGCTCTCATGCCTGAGTGGATGAAAAGACGTTTTGAGCGGAAAGATGTTCTTCAGTTTGTCGAGCCATATTGGTCATCAGAGTACTTGGTCTTAGACGATCATCACTCTTCGCGCTCTGACAGTGGTAGCAACTCTGAACGCCGATCATCAGTACTTGCTGACCAAAGCCTGCATCCTATACGAGATGGTATATCGTTTTATGAAAAGTATGGAACGTCGTACGAAGAGTGGCTGTTAATGTGGTGTCGACGATTGATTCAGCTCTCTCAGCCACCCGAGCGAAAGATTTTCTGGGCGTGCAGAACTGCGCTTGCCACGTGCCCTCAGATATCTCGATTTTTGCTACCTTATCTGCTCCAGAATGTGCTTCGGTCTGGCAAATCTGAAGTCGGCGAGGAGCTCAAGAAGGAGTTCATGGCGGTGCTGGATGGCCAGGACTGTGGAATTTGGATGGACGATTTCTTGATGGCTCCATCTGAACCGAGGCATTCAAATGTTTCAACGAGCGCCAGTAGTGTCTCTGACAAAACTGCCAGCGATGTTTATCATCGTCATGATCAGTGCTCCCAGACCATTTTCTCGACGATCGATGAGCTGAATGAGTGGGTCTGGACAAGCGAAAAGAAGCGTCTTGCCCTTAGCAGCGGCGGCGCAAATCGTCTGGCATCTGCTTCTGGTCGTAGCGACGTGCCATCAGAGATGGATGATCATGAGAAGGATTACTTGGATGAGTTCCTGAAAGAAATTCCGAGCCGGCTGCTGTCGAGCGCAGCTTACAAAGTCAAGGCCCACGCCCGGGCAATTCAATATTTTGAGGTGTACCTCCGGCAGCAAGAATCTACTTCGACTTATGTAAAAAAGAGCAGTACTGAGATGGGGAATCCAGTGCGTCTTTCGTTGATATCGAGAAATGCCTTTTATCTTCAGCAGCTGTATAAGAGTGTCGACGAACCAGACGCGCTTATTGGTTTGGCCGCGTTGCGCCGCTTGTACGACGCGAATCGGTACAACGATATTCGATCGGACGTCGAAGGCGAGACTCGAGAGGAGGAACTAAATCTTTCTGGTCTAATGCATCAAGTTGTCGATCACGAGCAGCTTGCTCAGTGGGAAGATGCACTGGCTTGCTATGAGCAAGCAATCCAAGGAATCCAGTCTGCACTTTCGTCGAAAGTGGTACGCACTAGCAGACTACACTACAGCCAGCTTGCTATGGTGCAACCCAGTGCGCAGATTTTGGATGCAGACGCACACAAAGATCCAGAGACGATAAAGCCTGTTTTGTATTCCGGAATGGTTGGCTGCCTGATTCAACTGGGACGCCTGGAAAGTGCCTTGCAACATATCAACGGCATTGTAACACAAGAGCCGCAGTTCATGGCCACGATGTATCCCTTGGCACTGGAATGCTCCTGGCGACTATCTCGATGGGAGCTTCTTACTGAACTGTTGAGCGCGGAAAAGCGGAACCCGCTGCTTCGCTCTCTGGGTTCAGCTAGCACTCGGCTCAAAGGCGTCGATGTTTCGCAGCTGATGTTTGTTCGTGTGCTACATAGCTTGCATGTTGGCCAGCAAAAGGAATTTCAGCGTCATCTGAAAGCAGCACGTCTAGAAGTGATGGGGCCTCTCGCAGCGGCGTCTGCTGAGTCGTACCAACGCGCCTATCCCCTCCTACATCATCTTCATTTTCTGCATGAGGCTGAGCAGGGGTTCATATTTTTGCAGAAAGCGAGGCAGTGCGGTGATTCCGACCGGCGCAGCCTTCTTTGGAAACAGCAAGCTCCTTGGAAAATGCGCTACGATGCAATGACGACGCAGCTCAAGTACTGTGATCCGATACTGGCACTTCGTCGACTCATTTTGCAGGAGGCAGGGCTTCGAAACGAAGTATCGACGAATTGGCTACTGTATGCAAACTTGACCAGAAAAGAAGGTTTTTTTCGCACAGCCGCAAGCGCAGTGATGCATGCGGAGGCGCTAAATAATCAGTACGCACGCATAGAAAAGGCCAAGCTGCTAGTCAGTCAGGACCGAATGTATGAAGCGTTGCAACTTCTTGAGCCGATCGATATTGACGTATCTACGTTGGATTTTGATGTCGAAGATCCCCACTTCTGCGCAAGAAACCTGCTTTTGGCGACTAATTGGATGCAAGAGTCCGGCCTGAGGCAAGGTAGGAAAGTGATCGAGCGATATCAAGCAGTCATTCATTTCGATCCGACGTGGGAAAAAGGATACTTCTTTCTGGCGAAGTACTATGAGTACTTGCTCAGTGAAAGTCACCCTGATGCTTCAGGTGGACCAATGGGCAGCGATGAGGTGGCTGACCTTTCAGTCGATTCTGTGTTTCATGCCCACTTGATTAACTTGATGAAGAATTATGTGCTTGCACTGTCACATGGAACGAAGTTCGTGTTCCAGTCACTCCCCCGACTGCTAACGCTATGGTTCGAGTATGCCGAGACACTGTATGCAAGCAGCACTGGACAAAATAGCATATCAAGTGCGACACTGCGGCAAGTCGAGGTCACGCAGGATCAGTCCACTACAGAGCAAAAGGTTCTCGATGATATCACCATGGTCATTAACAGAGCCATCGAACTGTTACCTGTATATGAGTGGCTTGTTTGCTTTCCCCAAGTGACCTCGCGCATTTGCCATCCCAATCCGGTCGTAGTTACTGGAGTCAAGAAGATCATGCTTCGAGTACTCACGACGTATCCAACACAAGCGATGTGGCCTTTGTTGGGTCTCTCGCTCTCGCTGAACCCTCACCGGAAAAATCACGCGCGAGACATCATTCTCAGCGCACAGCAGGAGTTTCTGTCAAAGGGTTTGCAAGACATAGCAGCTAGCTTTGCCGAGGGACTGCGGATGGCTGAAGAGCTCATTGTCCTTGCTGCTCACGATCCCGGGAACAGTCAACGCAAGATCCACATTCGCTTGAGCCGGATTCGGACCAGGATTCTAGTGCCAACTCAGATGGCTCTGACCACAATCTTGCCGACAACTGGACTTGCCCCTCGCGATGAACTTCATGTTGCCTTTTCATCGAACGCGCAAGTATACATAAAGAGCTTTCGTGACAAAGCGGACGTGATGATGACGAAGGAAAAGCCCAAACGTATCGAGGTTCTAGGCACCGATGGCCTGTCGTATCCGTTCTTGTGCAAGCGCGAAAAATCCGGTGATCTTCGCAAAGATGCGCGCATGATGGAGTTCAACTCGATGATCAATCGGCTTCTTCAGAAAGATAAAGAAGGCCGCAAGCGCAAACTCCGCTTGCGCACGTACGCAGTGGTGTGTTTGAATGAAGAAAGTGGGCTGATGGAGTGGGTAAGACACACAAAGGCCATGCGACAGCTCATCGGGCAAATCTACAAAACTGAATGCGGCTACATCCAGCCTGTTCGGGTAACACATGAGATCAAGGAGCTGTATCTCAGCATGCAAAAAGAGTTTGCCAACAACCCTGGCGCGATGGCACAGCACTACCGGCGCAAGGTACTATCGTTACCGGTCTTTACACCAAGATTTCACCAGTGGTTTTACAACAACTTTGCCGACCCGACTGCATGGTTCGAGGCTCGACTCGCGTTTTCGCGATCAGCAGCTGTATGGTCTATGGTGGGGCACATTGTCGGCCTTGGCGATCGCCACTGCGAGAACATTCTGGTCGACTGCACCAACGGGGAGTGCGTTCATGTAGACTTCGACTGCCTCTTCGATAAGGGACTCAAGCTGGCCAAACCTGAAATTGTGCCATTCCGTTTGACACCAAACATCGTTGATGCTTTTGGAATCACTGGGTACGAGGGTGTTTTCCGCCGCGTAAGTGAGGTGACGCTGCGCTTACTTCGAGATAACAAGGAGACGCTTCGAAGCGTGCTGGAGTCGTTCATCCACGATCCACTGGTGGAGTGGGGTCGTCGCGGCAAAGCTGCTCAGAGCAGTGGTGGTTCAGGTAAGATTGTTGCTGAAGTCCCCAGCGAGCGCACCAAAATGGAGACACGACTTGTCCTCAAAGCCATCGACGACCGACTGCGTGGTATCTACAACCTGGGTGATGCTATACGGCCGCTCGTATCACGTGCGCATCGCAGCATCTTACCGGAGATTGAGACGCTGCCACTTTCTGTGCAGGGTCAAGTCGAGAAGCTCATCCACGAGGCCACGTCGCACGAAAACCTCGCTCAAATGTACATCGGTTGGATGCCATTCTTGTAGCACGGATCAGGATGCTTACGGTTATTCGAAGTACGCGTTTTGGGCCATCAAGTCACGATGTTTGAGCTTCCGGTTCAAGCTCATGTCGATACGAAGGTATGTGAGTATATCCCCACTCGTCGCTTTGCAGTATTCTGTTCAGGCGGAGCTCAGTCTTGGCGAGCCTGAACAAAATGCTCGAGCTCGAGCAACGTACATGCACAATGACGGCCACCGCGGTATGGAGAAGGTGGCCAAGAAAGCAGTAGTCGAGTCTGGGGTGCGTTTATCGACCGGCAAGCGTTGCGAGGAGAGCCGGACGAAGCCACCGTCTCGCATCATTAGGGAAGGTTCAACGTGGGTGCTTATCCCTGGTGTCGCATCAGCGAAGCGAGAGCAAGCACGTGAGTTCAACAGGAAGCGCCATGGTGTGCATGTCGTAAACAAAGCAGCAGTTTTTGCTTGTAAAGCTCGTCAGCGCAGCCGGTGTGAGACCTTGTATGTATTTCGGCATGCAAGCAAAACCGGATTGTGACCAATACAAAACGAAAGCGTATGCTGAAGATATCCCGACATTTTCTTTGCCCGCGCCTTTCAAAGCAGTACCGGTCAACAGCTCGAATGATGGAAGTGATTGCTGTTGGAACTGCCGCCATCGACGTGGTCCACGAAGTGGCCGTGTACCCTGAAGGTCCGTTTATCTGCTTGCAACAGATGGCCGACGCAACCAACAACCAGCTAACTTTGTGTTTATAGAGGACTCGAAGGCGCGGTCCTTGGCAACTTACAAGTGCCGAGGCGGCAACGCTGCGAGCGCTCTGGTACTTGTATCGCATCCGTCAGATCCTGTTTTTGCTCAAACCTTTGTGCTGGGTCAAATGGTATTATTTGGGTTCGCAGGTAATTTGCTCCCAACTCGGCGGCCGCTGTCGATGGCTAAGTACTTCGACCGACCCGGACAAAGACAGTGATGCCAAGTTCATCCATGCCGACTTGGCTGCATTCAATGTGGACTGTTCGTTAGCAGTCATTGAAAAAGAAGGTAGCATGCCCGTATCGGTATGTCACTGCTGGTCGGTCACTCGAACTTGTGCAAGACTGGTCTCGTGCCTGTATCGGTTTTGTAATGCGTGCTATTCCGTAGTACATTGTTTCGAGTCAAGCATCGGGATCGCGCACGATTGTACACTCGCGCACAATTGCCGAACTCACGTGTGAAGCATTTGCGCGACAAGTCGAGGGGTACATGACGGAGATCCGACACGATGCAAATGCGCCCGTGTGGTTTCATTTCGAGGGACGAAACATGGACATTGTGAGGCAGATGATGCTGCATATCCGAAACACTGCACCGCGCGCGAAGATCTCGGTTGAGATTGAATTTCCAAGATACCCATGGAGTCTTGCCAAAACGTACGTACATATGTTTGGGACTGGTAGCATGTATGGTGGGCGGCCCATTGTCCAAGCTGGTCTGAGAGAGGTGTGTCCGATATGGTTCTGTTCGCAGACTGGCGTCGTTGGCGGAATACGTGTTCGTGTCGAGGGACTACCTTCGTACCAATATGCACATATCGAGCGCAAGCGAGTTTTTCGAACGCATTCAGAATCAGGAATGGGACGAGAACTGGAATTCGTGGGTAAACGCCTTCATATGCCCTTGGGGCTCAGAGGGTGTGTACTATCTCGACATGTCTGGTTCAACGGTACATCATCTTTCTACTGCCCGACTCGACCGCGTGGTGGAATCTAGCGGAGCAGGAGATTCTTTCATCGGGGCAGCTCTTGCGGGATTGTCTCGTCGCAATGCTCCGCTCCATGTCGTTCTGCAGATAGCGTGTGACGTAGCTACTCTGAAGTGCTCGCAGCGTGGATTCGAGCTTCCTTCGAGCAAAGTCTTGGAGTGGAGGAATGTTTTAGAGACCACTGGTGACTCCGACGACCCAGGCGGTAGATGGACGCCAGAGGGCTCCATCAGATATTGTTGAGCATATTTCGTTGACCATCAAGCTCATGCGTATGACTTTGATTCATGAAGACGAAGCTAAACCTCATTAAGGCTACAGCACCCAGGCTGACAGCATTCGTACTGGCGGAGTATTTCTATAGTGCACCGGTTCGGCTGGCATGGTTTGCTCCTTCCTGATGAACTCACTTGTCATCGCGCCTGTGCCTGCCATATGCTATGCAGGAAGCTTTAGCCGGACCAGTTGTACTCGATCTAAGCTGCGAAATCGACGTCGCTTGCTGTGGTATATGATGGCGGATCGGATAATCTATTCTCAGTGCAGACGTGCTTTCGCAACGGGGTTGACGTCTATCTGGCTGCTAGCGTATGTCGCTGCGTATGTGCCACCAATAATGATGAAAACGCTTTGCTTTTGGCGAGGAGGAAATTGGAGCACAACCCATGCGTACGACCGAGCCTCCTTGTGTCTAGGGCGAGACGGCAAGCATACTGGCACGACCCATGGTGCTGTACCGATGATCTGCAACTCCGCTTGCTAAGTTAGAAGGATAGTCACTTGGCCTCCATCATTAGACGTACTGCAGCAACTTCGTTCGGCTGAACCACTGCTGACCATGTCAAGTCGAAAGATTTGACGGCCATCATCGCGAGGTTGGTCAAAACTGTACAACTTGTGGCGTGTACCGGCACTACCGTGACTGCAGTTGTAGAGTGGACATGCCTTGACTCGATGTGCCTACTGACAGTGACATCTTCCACGACGATGCCACGACGGTCCTGTTCATGTGCGCTCTCCGTCGCTTCATATTGCAGCACGATCGTGCAAAGGCTTACGTGGCGTCAGACAGCGTCTAGTTTTTCTGCAGCAGATATGCGCATTGTCGCGCCAGGTTACAAACGCCTTTCAAGACCACTTATGTTGGCACGATCCGGCCCACGTTTCACGTGCGCATCAAGGTAGAACCAAGTATGGTGCCAGATATGCACTCTGCCTCACTCGAAAAGCGCCGCCGGTGAGCTACTTCGATTGTTGTCCATGAGATCGAACCTTGCAAAACTCCTGGGCGTCTCAAGTACGAGCGACTGGCTACACTAATGACGTGGACAATGGATGCAGCAGTGGTTCAACAAGTTGGACGGACGGCGCTTCCCTGTAGTTCAAAACCGAAAATCTCGGATACGTACGTACGTGTTTTGCTTCTTAGCGCCACGTTAGACCAGCAGAAGGGTGACGAGACCATTGCCGTGCGACCGATCGATCTGCACCAGGCCGTTCGCCACCAGCGAGTAGAGTGCGCGAATTACTACCCCGTTTCCATTTGGCTTGCCATGATCCTCAAGCAACTTGCTGGCTTCCTGCTTCAGCTCGTTCACTCCCATCTCGCCTTCGTGTTCGTACAACAAATGCAACAACACTGCTTCTTCCCGCAGCGTCGGTGGATTCGTGTCGCGCGCCGTCAAGAGCTGCACATCAACCATGTATCGCATTTTCCGTTTCTGGCGTGCCAGCTCCAGTCTCAACGAGTCCACGCAGGTCTGTACCTCTGCTTTCTTTCGCTTCACTTCTGCCAGCTCTTCTTTCAGCGCAGGCAGATCCCGCACATTTTCGTCCATGCGTTCTTCCATCTCCTCGGCTGCAATGATCTCGCGCTGCAGCATCTCTTTTTCCTCTCTCAACTCCCGAAGCACCTGTTCCCTCGCCGCCGCCGCAACTTCTGCCTCAACGTCGATACTTTGCCCTCGCCCCTTGCTCTTGTGCTCCGCAACAGCGGCACTGCGTCTCGCTTTTTTCCTCTGCAACGAAGAGACAGCAGCCTCAATGTCCCTCTTCTCTTCCAGACGAAGAGCCAGCGCTTCTCTCAGCTCTGCAAGCTCGGCCAGTTTCACCTGCTCGTCCTGGTCCTGCACCTCGTCCAGTACCTCGTCTCCATCATCGCCATCATCACCATCCTCATCATCGTCATCTCCCTCTTCTTTTTCTGTATCGTTCTCTCCTCCGGTAGTACCAGCAGCTGCGGCAGCATTTTCCTCTTTGAGCGCCTGGAGCTCCACCTCACGCTCGGCGACGCGCTGCTCCCTGACCTGCATCTGCTGCTCCCAGGCCTCCTCCTCTTGTGCTAACTGCTTCTCGACTCGATCCTGCAGCGCCACGTCGTCGCCCACACGTTTCAGTTTCTCCTGACAGAGCTGCACCGAGTCGGACAGCGCTTCGAACCTGCGCGTGAGACGCTCCCCGCGCTCGAGCGCTTCGCGGGATCCCGTTTTCTCGAGTATCTCCAGTCCCAGTCGATGCAGAGTCATCTGCCACGTCTTCTCGTGCTCAGACGCACTCGTTTTCGCGGCGTAAGTCGCGCTAGAGACGACCGAATAGAGCGACAATGAACAAGGAGAACTTGGCTTGGGTATTGACGCCTTGCGTGGCTTTGGAGCGGACCTGGACGCCGGTAGAGGTATCGACGTGTGCGCAGACGGCTGGCGGAACTGACAGGATGCTAGCGACGAGCTCATGTGGCGGAGGTCGTCCGCACAGAGCTGGAGACGACGGGCGGCGGCGTCGACCCGCTGACGTTTGCGATCCGACATGTGCGGGCGATGGAATACCGGTATTGTTGTGGCGAATCAGTAAATTAGGGTCAAATACCGTGACGGTCGGGCGAGCATGTCGCGTCGTGCGCGTAATACCGGTATTCTATTGGATCATGTGTTGTTCGTGTTGGTATTGCAGGGGGAGATGCGTGCCGCGAAGGCAATTATTGTGGGGACGAATCGAACAGCGCAATATAAGTTACGTCTATTGGTGTCTGCCTCGATTCTTGTGCTTTGTTTAAAAAGCGCGCTGGTAGACTAGACACTGCTTTCATGTGCGCGTCCAACGCGTTTGGGTCGAACCTAGCTGCGAGTCACAAATCAGTACGCTACGAATTGGACGTCCATTCCAACCGCATTGCTAGCACGTTGTCTGCCACACTGGTGCGAAGTGTCGGACAACAATTTGTGCTGCATCCTTGCTCCCTGCTAGTGTTGCCACAAGCAGCCCTTCATTGTCTAATAGTAGCCATTGTGCTGCTCTGGACGCAGCTCTTTGTCGAAAAGAGCGATACCAATACGCCGTTGACATGTCGTCCGTTCATCGGATCAGTGCTTAGCTCGAGCGAGAACTACCTCAGCGGCATGTAACTTGAGCGGAAAAGAGGCCGCATAACCAGATGCATTGGGTACTGAAACAGCTACTCCAAAGTCTTGCAACGTGGCAAAAGCACCTGTGGACCAGCGGTATGAACAAAGGCCTTCTGCCCATTCGTGCGCTTCGTCAACTACGCTGGCAATCTTTTTGACACGCGTTTCGTCTTCGACCAGTTGTCCACGGGTGTCGGCAATCAATGCAAATGCTTCCGTTCAGCGATACCATCATCATCATCGTCGTCGCCTCCGCTATGCAGCGGTCATTTCTCACTTTATCGTCCCTCCGTCAGGCGTGCCATTGTAGCTTGTACACAAGCCTATCCAACCACTCCACAACGTTGCCATACCGTATACGAGCCGTGCGAGCTGCACCATTCTGTAGCACCAATTTATCGTCACGAAGAGACAGCCACCACTCACTCGCAGTGCCGTGCTTCCAAAACTCACTGAGCATCCATATTCACATATTCCTCGCCCAAATTCATTATTTACATACTCCACGAGTCAACGCTTGCCCACGGCTATGTTACTCAAAACCAAAGCCCGTGATCTCCATTTGTATCACCTGCAGAAACACACACACAAGAGCGACATCGTGAGACTCGGTAGCAAAGATATCCACTGCTGACAGCACGTACGAGCGACAGATATGATCGGAGATCCTCTTTACTCTCATACACCGGCAAGTCGATGCGGTTGAAACAGGTGTGTGCGCGTGGGCACATTCCAAGCGGCGGCGTCCCTAGAGGAACCATCTGCAGTGTGAATGGATGGACGATGCCACTTGCGCTCGTGAGCGCTCTGAAGCCTTCTACAGGTACGCGCGAGCAGCCTGTAGTGAACTGCAAAAGACGGGCGCGCTGATCGTCGGTGAACGATGCCAATACATCCCAAAACCACTGGATGACCTCCACCTCTCGCCCGATTCCATCTGAATCACTGTCTTCGGCCGCATGTCGAACGCGCGAGTTCTTTTGCCAATCAGTCACGTTTAGCGTGGGCAACCCACTGAGGTAGAAGTCTAGCTCCTGGTAGTCGAAGATAGTAAGCAGAGACTTCGGAATGACCTCGTACAGCCCCTTGAGCAGTGCTGTGAGCTGCCCAGCTACGCTGTCCAACATGCGGTATCGCAGTACCAGCGATAAATAGTCCATCTTGTTTTCGTCGGTCACATCAATGTTACTTCCACCAGGTTTCAGCTCCACAGTCTCGCCTAAAGGCGTCTGAATGCTGAACGTGATACACAGCGCATCCACATGATTGTTGTCGCGCACCCAGCTCAAGTGCTTATACAGCTCTTCGTCCAGAAACTCCAGGTCAGAAAAAGTGATGGGAACGCCTAGAAGGTGCTTTAGCAACGGCAGTGACATACTCACTTCAAGAACAAGACCATCTAAAATAGCCTTGCCAAGAAGTCGACCAGCGAACTTGAAGTACAACAAATGGTCTTGCCCTTCCGGCACACACTTGGCCGACTCTGGGTTGATCCAGTAACTACAGTCTTCTGCATGCGTCGTGACAAAGAGGCCTCGTTCGGCACTAAAAAGCTCTTGGCACACAAGTCCAAACCACTCGCGCAGCACGCCGCCAGCATCCAAAGCTGGCTCTCCGATAAAACCAATATTCAAGTGCTCCTGCATCCTCGACATGTCGACTCCATCTCCAGCCAACTGCGGGACGGCGTCGTCCAAGATCGCACAGCGTCGTACGTCGATTTTGTGCATGGATTTAGTATACTGCACGGAAAGAGTTGTTATCTGCTTGAGGAACCACCGCTTCTTCTCTCTCCACGTCATTGCCAGTGCACCTTCAAAATCCACCAACGGCTCCCTGCTATCGCCCTTCGTATCGATGTCCAGCGCAATCGCGTCTGTCTTTCGATACGCTACTGCAGTACCCGACGCATTGAGCTCCGTGAAAAAGCCCATCGACGCTGCATTCTTTCGACGCAGCTGTTCGGCCAAATCCTCGCGCAAGTGTTTGGCCAGTGGGTTCTTGAACAAGAACGAGCTATTCCGTAGCTTCTGTACAAACGAGTCTGCATTCGTCGAGCCTGGTCGGAGACATGCAGGCTCTACTGTCCGGACCCACACAAAGCCGCCGTTCGGCACTCGCACGCGCTGCCACAGTCTCCTTCGACTCGCGCCTCGCTGCTTCTGGTTCAGCTGCATCTCGTTCAGCCGCCTGTACCGCAACGCGCGTTGTCGCATGCCGATGATCGCTTCCAGCTCCTGGATCACGTCATCATACGACGACGACGACGACAACTCGCTGCGCGCCAGCGGCATCGTCTTGGCTTTCTGCAGCGCACGTGACGCAGCCCTTGTCGTCGTCGGACCTACTGCGTCGCCTCGGGCCACAACGTGGACGTCTGTACCGGTCCCCACGTCCTCCAGCAGCGTCGAGCTCAGCAGCCGGCGGCTGCTGTCCGTGCCCAGGAACGTGCTCCGGGCCCAGCGCCGCGTCCTCGTGCGCGTGTGCGGGTCTTCCACCGTCTCCTCCATCGTCGAGAGCTCGGCCGACGTGCCGCAGAGCAGACACAGCTCGTGGTTCGGGTGGTTCATGTGCGCGCACACGAGGCACTGCCACTCGCTGTGGCCTGCGTCCAGCACAGTGTCCACGAGGTCCTCGCGCAGCTGCAGACTGCGCAGGTCCAACGAGTCGATTGCCCCGTCGTCGCTGTCCAGTCGCTGGCAATAGCTCGCGCAGACCACAATCGCTCCAAAGAGGAGCAGCACACAGACACCGGCGCCGACCAGCGCTCCCCCGACGGACGACAGGTCGTCCATGACGACACACGGGGCAGCGGCTTCTGCGCGTTGTCTCTGTCTCTCGCGCGCTCGCTCTCCTCTCTCCTCTCGCTCCGAGTCGTACGCACTGACGAGATGAGCGGCCGGGGCGTGGCGATCGTACTTAGTGAGAACGCTCGACGACGGGGTACTCGATGGGGTACACTCTTGGTTTGTCGCATTTGGTTGTCGAATTGTAGCGCGGGAAAACGATCGAATGCTGACGTGGGGGTGGGGGGAGACAAGTGGAAGCTTGTTTTCAGCCAATGAAGAGGACGGGACGGAGCGATTATCGTGCGTTGCACACGAATTACGAGCATGAAGGAAATGAGTTGCCCTCAAGACGTTGTTGCTACATTGCGAAATGCGAGCGTGGGACATGGTGACAATGTGGTGACATTGTGTCGCAATTTGGGTTACTTTACAAAGCGACGTAGATCGATAGATAGATCAATAGGTAGATAGATAAAAAATAATAGAGAGAAGCATAGACAAACACACATACATTCATTCATACATTCATACGTACGTACATACATACATAGATTTGAACAAGTTTTCAAATGACTATGCATGAAGCGAGAAATAACTTCACGTCATTGTAATCTCTCACGCATACAGCAATTGTCAAGGCTGTTCGGTTGCAAAACTGTGCGTCAAGTGCTGACAATGAGGCAATTGCTGCACGACGTTTGCGGGTATGTACTTATGATGAGCGCGCCGAAGTCGATGATAGGGGAGAGGCTGTGTGAGGTTAAAGGCTTAGGCTGACAACAAATACGGCGACGCCTGGATTAATGCGAGGGAAACAATAGTGTCAATGTGTGTCGAAATGGATCGTTCTGACTGCTGTCGCCATTCTGGTGTCGGGAACCAAAGCAGTGGCGTCGTTTGCATAAGGCAAAGCACATGAATGGGTCAACAAGCAGATCATAGCACGGAAAAGGAATGTCACTGCGACACAAAGTCAAAACAGACAGAACAGGGAAAACGACTGACTCCGTGATAACCTATATTCAGTCTGCTGACAAGGCTTTTTTACCTCTGGGCTCCTGGATAGGTTTGACACGTGTTTGGCAAGCTTTTGGTCATCCGTGACATGCGGTAGCGATGATCATTCAATGTGAGACTATCAAGCCTTGCACAACAACGGCTTTGGCAAAATTCAGACCACATGACAAAGACTAAATAGTGTGCCTTACGACTTCAATGTCAAAGCTTTGCCTCTTTCACCAACACGACGACATGCGATTGAGTCGGCGGATGCCGGCATCCTCTCGACCTCTTGATGGCGCTATTGCCACTATCATCTGTAAAGTGCAGATGATGATGATGGCGGCGGCGAGCGTGGGTTGGCAACATCTACAAAGCCAATTGACCGACTGAAATGCGCCGGTCGATAGACGCGTCGATCGTAGTCTTGGTCTTTCGGACACAATACCGATCGTCATTGACGATAGTGTCAATTTACATGCAGAGTTATGTAAAGTCTCGTGAAAACGACTATCTCACTGCGTAAGTAAACTCTGCTTCTCCACACTTGACGTGCGTCTACGCAAAGTACAATGCATGCTGCAACAGGGTCTGGTTTGCTCGTAACATTAGAATGTACCGCACGTGAACAAAGCAACAGCCACGCACGCTCACATAGTTCTCGATGTGGACAGCAACAACGAGCAGAGTTTCGGACACAAGAGACGCTTTCATTGAGCGCGAGGAGGGTGCTGCTGTTATGACTTGCGCGGTAGATCACTAGATTGCAGCGCTATTGCAACTCCAAGAGCGTACACAAGAGCGCAGCGATCTCACCGCGTATGCGCTGCGAGACCATAGACATCTCTCGCAGGCCAACTGCTGTTGCAAGGCATGATCAACGATCAGTTGCGTTCGAGCAGTCGCGTGGTATCTGCCGCGTGCAACGTCAGTGTATGCCCGAGCAGACACGAGCATCAGTGCAATCGATCGAAAGAAGACCGCTCCATGTGCTCGTGTGCATCTTCTTCTACCGCTTTGCGGCTTCTCTAACGACACTTCAGGCCATTTACTGTCAGTAAAACCAGTGCAGTACTCGCTGGACATGCGGCAAAAGGCTGCGTTGCTAACTCTGCACCTCCGGCGAGAGTCGCACACACGACCTCATGTAGCCATCGAAACTCGTTTTTCTCAGCGCACGACCACTTCAGTGCCACTGGATTATTCATAGCACACGCATCGAAAGAGCGCACGCTGCACGCGCAGATCAGCGGCAAGAATACCGCTGCAACGCTAGCAGCTTCAACTTGTCGCCTGCAGCTGCATGTTCCATTTCGCTGGTACAGCACAACACGGGCACATGATGCTCTGCGACTCGACACAAACGTCCGATCGTCCGATCGTCTGCCCGATTCGATGCGTGGTCCACACGTCAGCGCGGCGTTAAGTACGTCCAACGCACCGCACACAGGAGCGTCGCGTTTTGCCCCCCCCCCCCTCTTCCCCCTATTGTGCAACTCGTGTGACCCGCAAGCACGCGTCCCCCAGCAACGTCTGCGATTGGTCGAGACCGACGCTCTCGGCACCTGTCTTCTTCATTTGATTGGTCAGCAACACACCGCCTCGTCCCTCCCCCCGTCGGCGTGTCACTCGAGACTCGTCCGGAGCTCTTCATTTCCATATCAGAAGCCGACAAAGACCTCCTCGCAAATCGACTGTCATGATCTCCCGCACGGCACTGAATCGCTCTCTGCGCTCGTTCGCAGCCGCGCGAGCGACACAGGTCGTTCCTACCGGTACGCGTGCGCGTCTGTACCACGAGAACGTGATCGACCACTACGAGAACCCGCGGAACGTGGGCGCAATGGACAAGAACGCCAAAGACGTGGGCACGGGCCTTGTCGGTGCGCCTGCGTGTGGCGACGTGATGAAGCTGCAGATCCAAGTGGACGAGAATGGCACGATCGTGGACTCCAAGTTCAAGACGTTTGGCTGTGGTTCGGCCATTGCGTCGTCGTCGGTGGCCACCGAGTGGCTTAAGGGTAAGAGCGTGGACGAGTGCCTGAATATCAAGAACACGGACATTGCGTCGCATCTGAAGCTGCCGCCGGTCAAGTTGCACTGCAGTATGCTAGCGGAAGACGCGATCAAGGCGGCGATCTCGGACTTCAAGCGTAAGCAGACGGCATCGGGGTAAGTGGGCGAGGGCACGAGGCGGTCTCGTGGGCGTGCACCACGCACTACTGCCGATGTTGCCTCGCTCCCTTCTTTCTCCGTCCTCTCTCTTCTCTTTCTCGCTCACTCGATCTGCTGTGGCGACGGAAGACATGTGTGTGTATGCGTGGAAAGGAGAGTGCGAGGGCATGGAAGACGAGAGGGACGCGAGCTGTGTAGTGGCAGCAGGAGGAGCAAGTAGCACTGCGACTGCTTCACAGTAACCATTCGCTAAGTTATTACCTGTCCATTGCTTGTCGCCTCCCTTCTTGCCCGACCGCTCACCAGTCGCAACACCACGTCGTAGAGAAGAAGCATTGACGCCAGTCAGTTGCCGCAAAGCGAGTGACGATCTATGCTTTGCGTCCACAGCACTGGAACACGCAGTCGATCCAGTCGAGCGTCATGACAGACCTGAGTGGTTCGTGATCGGGTCCGTCAGTGGCCTTCGCACGCCCTACACGACCTGACGACGCTGCAACGAGCAGCTCCGTGCCCTCAAATGAAGGAGCAGGCGGATGCAGTGGACCGGTGGCACTATCTCCGCCTTTTTCCGTCGAACAGTCCATCGGCCACTACTCTGCGCCACGCATCATCACCTTCCGCTCTTGATTCCTCGCCCTCCTCAGCCAGTACGAACGCAGCAGTCGCATGTGTCACAGAACGGAGCGCAGCCGTCGCGTTGTTCTTCCATCGACGCGTCTCTTGCGGTGTGCTGTCCCGACTGACTGACTGTCTGTCCGGCAGCTGCGCCCCGCATCACTCCGCCGAGCGCCAGCTAAAGGCGCTCTAACGATAGCGCACCCTATCGCACTGTCTCTAATTCTCGCGGCCCAACCGCAACACGCGCCACGAAGAAACCGGTCACGTGCTCCGCCGCAGCTCCGGACGTCTAATGGCTACACCCGACGCGACGGACGGCCCCTACCTCCCCGAGCACATTGTGGTGCTCGTGCACGGCAACAATGGCTCGGGCGCGGACTTTGACGCCGTTGCGAAGGCGCTCGTGGCCACGTTTGGCGGCCCACAGGAGCTGCTCGTGATTCAGTCGCGCGCCAATGAGTCGGACACGTCGCTGGGGGTGGAGACGGGCGGCAATAGACTGGCAAAAGAAGTGGTGGAGGCCGTGTTCGAGTACGAAGTGAGTCCCACCGCGCGGCAGCATAAGGTGTCGCTCGTGGGCCATTCGCTCGGCGGACTCTACGCGCGCTACGCACTGGTTCAGCTCATGAAAGCCATGAGCTGTTTGCACGTGGCGTACGTCGACTTTGTCACGATTTGTACGCCGCACTTGGGCTCGCGACGGGCGAGAGGACCGTCGACTGTGAAGGTGGGGGGCCGCCCTCGTGGTGGTCGTGGTGGGAACTCGGCTCTTGTCGTTTAGGGTATGGCAATGGACTAATGGCATTGCATTGTTGTTGTTGTTGTTGTTGTTGTTGTTGTTGTTGTTGTTGTTGTTGTTGTTGGGGTGATGGATATGGTGTGGTGGGGCAAAAACGGGTGGACAGAACTTGGTGCGTCTCGGGGTGCACAAAGTTTTGGCGTCACGGGCGATCTATGGACAGACGGGGATTGATCTGTTGCTCAATGGTGAGTGAAGATGGCGTGGGGGGTGTTGCTGCGATGGATTCGCGGAGTGTAAGGTGGATGGCGTGAGGTGTGCAATAACATGGTTGGCTTATGCAAAGGTCTGTGTGGTGGATGACGTGGTTGCAGAGCACGAGCAGCACCAAGGATGGGCGACGATGCATGCTAATGAGCCGCAGCCTGCACGTCCACTGCTGATGGTCATGAGCGACCCGGCCTCGGAGTTTGTCCGCGCGCTCAAGCGCTTTCGACACGGCACGCTCGTCGCGATGACTGACGGCGACTTGGTTGTGCCGTTTCCCTCGGCTTCCATGCGCAGCCACAGTCCATACGTGAGCACTTTCTTGACGGACTGCTACGTGGACTGGCGATGGCATGTCCGCCACTCTGGGTTTGCCGATGAGACGGGTAGCAGTTGTGTCTATCCTGCGTATGCGGCATTTATGGAGCGGCTCAACGCGAAGGTCGACACCTCTGTGGTTATTGAAGACCACGGTCTGGGACTCGATGCAAGCTGCGCGCCACAGCGTCTCAGCGTAGAAGGGTTTACCAGCGACAACAAGCAAGAGGTAGAGTTCCCGCACGAGATGCTATGCAGTATGCAACAAGCGCTTCCGTGGAGACGCATTGACGTGCTAGTGGAGCCCAGCGGTGTGAAAGGCAAACTGCGTCTCCACGACTGGCCGATCAACAAGATGCAGCCGCCGGACTGCCGTGCAGACGAGTTCATCAATCTCTTGTGTGATATGATTGGAGCTGACCACGGAATCTGTCCACGGACAATACCGGAGACGGTTGAGAAGCTCGATGGGAGTGCTGCACTCGCGCAAGATACTAGTTCCAGCTATACTGCGAACAAAGCTGGTGATGAAGCATCGAGCAAGCAAGGAAGCGCTGATGGCGACACGAAAACGTACCAGTCCGGGCACACTTCTCCTGTCTCGTGCTCGTCCGGATCGTTGTGCGACTTTCCCGTCCACGCCGAACTGTCGTAACGCTACACGTCGTTTTTGTATGTTTGCAGATACGATGATCCTCACAATCGAATGTCTTGTGAAACAAAGCAGTTTATTATCGGTCGATGGTATGCAGTTTGAGACTCATGAACGCATGATCGACGCGTGAAAAAGCAGTTGCAGGACGATGCCCCGATACGGATTGGGGCGTCGTTGTGTACGCTACTTTTTACCTGCCTTTCAGCTTCCTGTCCTGATGCTGTCGTTTCTCGCCAGCCATATCGTGGGACTTGCAATGTGTGTAGAACAGCTCAGCATGCCATCAGGATAGCTTTCCACTGCACGCTTGTGCGTGTACCCACTCTAGCCACATGGCACGCATCTTTTTGCTACTGCCTGATCAGCGCTGTATAGCGATAGCTCTGATCGGTCACGAATACAAAAGTGGACGAGCTTTCGACAGCGTTTGCGTTAGCCAAGAAATGTAAGCGCAAGACCCAAAGCTGCAAGAGCATATTTGCTGAGGCCTTGTCATGCATGAGGCTGCAGCCTGATCGCGTCATACAATTGTGTCGCGTTCGACATGGCAAAAAGGGAATACCGATTGCAGGGTCGAGCAACCCTGGAAAGTGGAACTGGCTACAAGAAAATGTCTCAAAGGACCGCTGGGTGTCGCAGTGGCTCCATCGACAGTCACGCTCGTAGGTTTGCATTCTCAACTACATTAGTCGTCTCCATCCACACGGCAAAGTTGCGTTCGTTTCTTCAAACAATCGACACACTCGAGGGATAGCTTCGTGTAATGTTCATCAGGAAAATGAAGTGAAGTCCAGTTGCTCCGTATACGCACAGAAAGAGCTCTATAGACACACGTAAGATTGGGATGACTAGGGAATGATCAAACGAATAAGTTTGCGCGACCGATGGAGATGTTCGGTCGATCATCTCCAGCACTCTTATGCGCTCCGACGATGTAGTCCTAGTGATAAACTGCATCATCCAGAAACGTCAGCGCGTGATGGAGTTACTTCAAACAAAAGCTACCGAGAAGGGTGTTTCCATGTCAATTCTCTCTCCCTTGTCAACATGAGGGATGTCGATGGCCTCTTCAGCGAGAAAGGAACACTGTCGATGACGATTTGTATAAACTTCCACCTGCCCACCTCTTCATTTGCACCAACAGAATTAGTTCCTCATACTCTACGGACTCCCACCGCTTTGTAAAAAAACAAATCACTGTATCATGAGACTCAGTCAGGATGGCTTACACATTTCAGTCGGCCTTTCGTTAGCAGAAGCCTCGTGACATTGACAAATTGACCGTTCGACAGGCTGGCAATCAAAGGACTTCTAACAACACGTTGCAAAAGGCACGTGAGTTGCAGCTTTGCCCTCGTCTACGCACAGGATCATCACTAGTTATGATAGCATCAAATGAGGTTACTTCTGCAAAGGTTACCATTGCTGAAGTAGGATTTCGAGGCAAAAAAGTGTCGAGAATAGTATAGAACACGCTCGGTATTCCGCTAGTGCAACCTGATGGACGCTAAACCCTTCTCAGACATCAAGACGAAACGGCAAATTGATTGCTACCGGCCACACCTAGACGATATGATCTAAGATACCCATCCGCGGATACTAACAATACTGCTGTGGATATAGTCTAAGTGAGGAAACCTATTGAATCCTGTTGTCGAGGTGAAACGATCAACGCGTGATCCCTTTGGATGCCATATGCGGACAGGTAAATGGATACGCTGTAGCGGGCCGATGATAAACTGAAAGTTATTAAGCTCGCTATATCATGCGGAAAGGCATCAAAAACACGGTCTCAAGTCGCATGTTTGCACTGTAATTTACAGTGCAAAATGCGTGAAAATGATAGCCCTTATCTGCAGTACAACCTGACGGCTTATCAGTCGAGACAATGAACGTCATCAGTCTTGGCAAATTATTCTCTTGCTATGATCACCTCAGGCAATGCTTTTCTGAGCTTGGTTGTAAATGGCTACAATATCGTGCTACATCTATCCTATGAAAAAGATCAGTGGGTCGATCGTCAGGAACACGAAGACAGGCGTCGTAGTTGTGTTGTCTGCGTCTCGTGGCCGTCACTTTTCATGCATCGCCACTGAAAGGACCGTTGCAAAAGCTGTGAAGGGTCCGGCATTTCTTAAAAAGCAGCTGACCAAAATGCATTATTGCAATATCTCGGCTTCCCAATCCGAACTTTCGTCAATTCTAATGAAGGCATCTTTGTACGACTGGCCCATTTTAGCATTATGCGATAGATGTGATGATGTGATGTTTTTCTGCGACGGCGAAAGCTCGACGCTTCGTTGTGACTACCCACCGCCAGTGCACGGATCGCCAAGGAAGGAAGACGTTGACTGAGCGTACAATGGGGGGCATGGAAAAGGGTTGGCAAATTCTTGACGCGTAACGAGTTGCCAAGTCCACCATGCAAGTCAAATGACATGCCAATCTTCGGCGACTACATGCACCGATGCTTTTGCAAGACATGCAATTGAGCTCTCGCGTAAAGCGCTCATTGATATTCGCGGCCACATATGCTGAAAACAGATAAAACCGTGCTGGCAAACGCTTTTGATACCGCCGGCTACTGCCAGCAAATTGAGGTTGCAGCATACGCCCGATATCTCAGTCTATCGCTTCTTTGCGATGGAGCTTTCGCATCCACACTCCTCTTGGGTGTACAAGGAGAGTCGAAGCCCTACTTAATGTGTTCAGCGTTTGCTATTGCATCGCTGTATCCGACACAGCCTCCAGCAGTGAGAAGCCCACTGGGCTTGCTTTTGCACAGTCTCTACCACGTCTTCGAGTCGAGCATCAAGTCAGTAACGCGAGAACAGCCGTGGTATGTTGAGTAGAGTCTGCTGCGCCGCCAACGACAAAGATATCTTTCCGTTTGCTCGACTAACTTTGCTCATGTTTACCGACAGCCTGTAAACGGTTCGCGTGCGTGGTGCACCCACGCTTCCGACGGAGATAGTCCTGGTCCGTGAGTTCAAGATCTGCAGAAAGATCAAGCAGACGATTCTACTGAAGAGCATATTGTGAGACCTGGACGCGCGAAGACCGTTGGGTATCCTGGGCTGTCTCACGTCAGCTTCACTTGTCGCTCGAGACTCTGATCTCAGCGATGATCGGTGCAGCAGCGAGAAGGTTCTCGCGCGTGGATATTCCGCTGTTCAACTGCATGAAACGTGCGACACCCAGAATGAAACGACATATCTTGGCCGTAACTTTCCTAAACCTCTTCGCGAGACCGCATACGTCAAGCGCAAACACCTCACACCTCGATATCGAGATTGCGTTGCGGTGTGGGCATTACAGCATGACTTGACTAACCATTCGAAGCATGTAGGCAGTACCGGGCTGCATTGGACACAACGACATACGCAAACGATAACAATGACGACGTTGGACTTGTCCAAAGTGGCATAACGCTTCCTACTTTCCTACGCCCTCGACCGATCAATCCTTCGCCAGAGCGGCGAGATAGCGTGCATGTGCACAGCACCACGCGCCTGCGGCAACACCACCCCGTCCCCGCCACGACCAATGCATTTGACAGCCCGACATCGATACCGATGCACAGTTCTCACATAGGCTTTCTTACACCTCGTCAACATTGCTTCGTCTTGTCAACCCTTCACTCATCGATCCCCGACACCTCACACATCCCGTCATCTCATGCTCGTGACCTTCAGCTTTCGCGTGGCCGTTTCCATCGACCGTGCACTCGCTTTGCGCGGCCGTTCAGTAGCTCCGTTTCTTAGGTGCGCTTTCCGACGTGTGATGTTTCGTTACAAAGAAGGCCGCTGTTTGCGTATTCCGATAGAAAGGGCATAGCCGCGACTGGATCGGTAATCAGAGAGCGAGGAGAGAAGAGAGCGAGAAACAACGAATTCGGATCCGTAATCAATCGCCTGCGGCAAACGCGGGGTAGGTCAACAGCCCCTTCAAGTCGACGGCCCTTTCTCGTTCCATCCCGTACGGCCATTTCTCTGTCCCCGCAGTCGCATCTTCTCGAACTTTCTCTCCACGTCAACGTAACATTACGAAACAGCAGACAGACCTGCGTTCTCGAAGCCCCGAGTGGAATGTTCGATGCGCGCAGCCAATCACCAGTACGCACACGTCGAATTTCCACCAATCCGCGCCATTGCATCGACACCCGCTCCACACACACGTCTCTCCCCCCTCCCCCCTCCTCACGTATACGCGAGTCGAAGTACGTGTGTGTGTGATCAAGCAGACGTTCCTCTCACTGATCGTCAGTCTGCAATTTACGATACACTGCGTACACCAAACGACAGCACTTTGCATTACAACTGCAACAACTGCCTGACAGCTCTGGAAACTATACGACCACAACTATCGATAGTATCCTTCACGTCAGCATGAGCGCAAGCACAAGTAACACTAGCGAAGCGACTAGCGCGACACACACGCAGGAAAGTTCCTCTTCCCGCGGCAGCTTTGTCTTTGTGCTGCCGCCGCCGCCCACGATATGGATCCACTTTAACGACGGCACGCGGATGGCGTTCACGCCGTCCCCTGCTCAGTACCTGCAGTCGGTGCTCCACGGCGCCCCTGTGTTTGGCTCACCACCACCAACAAGCGGCGGCGCTAGCACAGACGCGAGTGCAAACAGCGCCGACGCGTTCCTCACGGCACTGAATGAGCTCTTCCAGCGCGCGCAAGAGCAGCAGCAACACGGCCCACCGCCCACGAGCAAAGGCGTTCTGGACAAACTGCCCGTCAAGTTGTGGACAGCGTCGATGCAGACGACGGAGCGCCACGCAGAGTGCGTCATCTGCCTGAGCGACTACGAGACGGACGATGAGGTTCTGGCGCTGCCTTGTGGCCACACGTTCCACAAAGAGTGCGGTCTGACGTGGCTCGTACAGCACAATGTGTGTCCCACGTGCCGCTTCGAGCTGCCGACCGAGGGACAGGCAGATAACGGGTCACTGGCGGTCGTGGCACCGCCAGCAGCTACGTCGGCATCAGAGCATGTCTCGTCTTCAGAAGATCTGAGTATCAGTGTGACGGGTGTGCGTCGCCAGCGTCCGACCGAGACGTTCCACCCGCGGGACGTCCGCCAGCGGATGAGCGACTCACGTGCACTGACGTCAGTGACGACAGGAGCGGACGAGGCAGAGCTGGACCGGATGCTGGAGCAAGAGGCCGACCGGTTTGTCAAAGAGGAGATGGAGACGAGTCGGGTGGTAGTTAATAGTGGGCAGGACGACGGCGTGGAGATTGAGGACGGCGATGTCGAAGAGCTGCTCAGTGAGTCAGCGACAACAGTTAGTACCTAGCGCGAGAGACGACGAACGCGAGGATAACGTTATTGTAGAATAGTAAATGAGGAATAGAAAACGGCATGAGCGGATGCACTTCCAGTACTGAGCACTCGTGTGCTGAAGCAGCGCAATGTCATGTCGCGCCTACTCACTCACTGTGACATTCTCCAGCTCTGGCACCCGCTGCTACTTTAAAGAAATGGCAATCGAAGGAAGAGCAATTGCTTACCGCCAACGACGAAGGCAGAGGTGTAACGGGGCACACCCTTGCGTGAACTTCTGCGTGTTTGGTGTGACAGGTCAATGAACTCTTCCAAGCAATGACGTACGGGAAGTGGCAGCCTTTGCCTCGTCTGCTTTTGCACGAATGAGTGCCTCGATCGGAGACCTGATGACGTTGATGAACACAACACACGATCAACAGGTGAGTGATGGAGGACAGCTTTGTGCCGCAATGGACGTAGCTATGGTACGTCCCGATCGAAGAGCCCTGCGATCGAGTACGACATTCTGCACTCGAGTCGCCGGATGACGAGAAGGTCAGATCGCTGCGTTTCGCACGTATAAAAGCTCGCGTGATCCACACGTTTGTGCTGCATTGATGCGCAAGAAGATCATCGCAACTGCCATTACCACACGACCACTTTCTTTATAGAGACCCGTCGCGTGCGTCCACGGATCGTACGTCGTGCGGTCTATTGGAATCGAATCTTAGAGTCCGCGCCTTCATGTGACGAAGCGAGAGCGGTAGTAAGCTGAGTGAGGTCTCAACGTTGAGCGATGACTAAGTCGAGCCCGTCAGCGTTGTAAGCAGTTTACCGACCCGTTGTCACGCAGTAACAACGACTAATCTACATGTCACGGGTGCAGCTTTCTATTGTCAGCATGAAAATCTGCACTACACAACCTGTATGCTTGGCAGTTGTTCGTGTGCAGCTCCTCACATCCGTATGTTGGTTGAGCTATGTGCGACGTCACGGAACACTCATTTTGATCGCCTCACGCACTGCATTGCGGTCCCATCTACTCACCCGCCACCTTACGCTGACCCAGCTGCACTACTAGAGGCACCCCTGCAAGTTGGTGTTGTCAATAGTCGAGAAATTCGAGGCTTAGTCAGGACAGCAGCTCTACGAGGAGTACACTGCTGAGCTGCATGGGTTTGCCATCAATCAGAAGCCACGACTTCCAAATTGAAAAAATTATCAATCTCATTAATGTGTGGGAGCTATACGCTGAGAACGGCGGTGGCTGATACCTCTGTGTAGCCAGCCATCAGTCAGTGCATAATCGTAAAAGGTCGATCAGCTTTGTCGATGTTGCCGACCTCCCTCCCTGTGCTCGCCAATATCGATCATTTTTTGCAGATGGAAGCGGCGGTTTGCGCTTTGCGCCGTTTGTATGATAAGACGATGATGACATTTCTTGGCTGAACATTGGGCGTCGTATCTGATGAAGAGGCCAAAGTTGACACTGACAACCTCCGAGACACCTGTGACATGACCCTGAGCAGTGTCATCCAAACACTATCCATCTACTGCATGATCTCAACTTCTACAGCCATTGAAATCGTGAAAGAGACAGATAAAGTACCTCACAAAACTCGTTTTACGGACCGATTTTGTCCAGAAGCCTGGACGTAGAGCGCCTTGTTGGCGCTCTGATGATCTATGACCTGGAATATAGTGAGATTGCCATGACCTTGCATTGCGTCGATTCTTCTGTTTGGTACGATTTCGCTAGTTAATCAGCAACAATCAATTTGTCGTCTGCAATCCATTAGAAGATACATCGATCGATTTGAACTTCCGCTTGAAAATCGAATCTGTCAAAACAAAAATCTTTATCGACTGAGTGGGTATGTAATATTGTGGATCTGAGGGGTGATGTGATATTGTGTCATCAACTTTGGTGCTTTGGTTGGCGACAGCGAAAGACGCACTCCTTTGTTTCTATTTATGACACGCGGTATCTACTGGTCGTCTTTTCATCAGTCAGCATGACTACCCCATAACAAACAAGCATTTATACTATCCATCCATTTATTCATTGTTGAGTTCGAATTATACGATTATTGCCGATTCGCCGTGTTTCCAACTGACTAAGAATCAAATCATCGTACCTATTTCTACTATAGTACTATCCAGCCATCTGAAACTGATGTCAATTACTACCTTCTTCGATCACACAATGGGTGGTATTACATCACCACCTCAGCTTGCCGTCAGCGCCTCCTATTGTCATTTTAACGTAGCGATTGATGCCCATATAGAGTAAGGATGTTGTCTTGGTGTTCTTGGCATGTGCACAGATTACTTCGACAATACCTTTCATAGAGATGTGGCATCTTAGGTTCTTGCTTAATCCGACAGCAACAATCGTGACATTTGTAATCACTCGATACGGATACTCCAGGCGAAATGATCACGGCTTCATTGAGCCAGATGTAATGCATATGGACGTGCTCGATGACCCAATGACTTCAGCTCGACTCCTGTCATCCTTTTGGCTCCACCACACATGTGTGATGTTAAAGTCTGGCGTATAATATGTTCCGTGCTTAACTCTTGGGCCCCGAACTTTAGATTCCCTTGAATGTTTCGAACTTTGATGGTCGGGGGCTTAGAGTCATTAGGATACGTAGCATACAAGTCCATAGCCGTATTCTACTTCGTAATAGGTGGATCACTATTTTTCTTAGTATCTGCTTATGCATCTTCTTCACAAAGTATCAAGGAAGTAATCGGGTGAAAGTGCTTCAAGATCATTCGACCATCTACAATATCTACCTTTTGTATCCTCTCGAGCGACGATGTCATAAACACCTACAAGTTATCAGGTTCTGTATGCAGTTTAGGTCCAGCCGGTACATTATAAATTATAATGACCGGTTATTGTTCGCTTCAAATCGGGTGTACACATCTCACAGGGATCACTGGGATGCAGAAAAAACGAATGAGTACCAAAAATTTTTAGCTCGCCCCCGCATTTCGTTTGTGAGGGTTGAAATTCTTCAAAAGGTCTTCTTCGCTTGTTACCAGGCCCCCTAAATAAATCATTGTGCGAGCGTTACACATTGTTAAAGAACCTTGGTCCGGTCGTGGTGGTATTCGAAATCGCGCCAACTAACTGGAATTGTCGGTGCCTTCCCAAGCCACTAGAGAAAAACCCTAAAGCTTTTATTATTTCGATTGATGAAAGGAAAGATCTTTCGACCCTTCAAGCGTAGCCTGACAGTATTGATAGTCATTCCGATGCAAGACTACGCTGCTTCCAAATATTTTATGCAGTTATTTGATTAAATAACTGACTAATTTGAAGCTGTTGGCGATGTCAATTCATCTTAAATGAACGAGATGATACGGCGCCATGGTAAACCGGCTCATATACCGATAAACCTACTTATATTATTAATGCTGGACCCCTTTCCGGATAAATTTAGAGATGTTGCACTTTTGGATAGGCGTAGCGCTCCTCTAAATGAGCTAACCAATAACTTTTCTGGAGGGCTGTGGGTGCAACGAAAAGCCTTGTTTCAGAACATCATTCTTTAGCGCAGCCGGTTTAGTATGGCAGTGCCAGCCCATTGGTCACTGGTTTGACACTAGTGAGGATGATAGACGAAAATGTTAAACCTTCGGGTCCTGGTGTTCGGGGTTCACTAGCAATTTCCTGCCAGGCAGTGACGTCCCCCACTTTAGGTAAGCTCAGGTGTTAAGAAGAACACGACCAGAGTTATAAATGTACAACTAGACGAGTAAGTAATGCGCGATGTGGAGATTACTTATCTGCTCTATACCAGTAGTAATGTGAAATGTGGCAATTACTAACGTATAGACAGTAGAATTCTGCAGGCCAATATTAGCAACAGGAGTTTGTATCTAAGGACCAAACTATGTTCACTTTGCATTTTACATTTTAGTTCTCAGCCTTAGTATATAGGCCTCTCCCCCAATTCCCTTCGAAAAGTTAGCAGCACATCAACAAAGCCTTTGAGAGGAGCTAGCCACACCACAATGACGGACGATGTCCGTGTGGATCTCTGCAAACATCATGCCGAGAATACGGCACTGACGCACGCTCAGCTTGTCAAATGGCTTCAGGACAATCATCAACTAAGGTTTGGCTAGGAAACAGCCTCCAACACGCTGAAGAAGAAGGCAGACCTTCTTCGGCTTCTAGAGGAAAGCAAAATAAGTGACAAACGTCATCGTGCATCTAAGTCGGCTGATAGATCCGCTCTACTGGTTTGGTTCCCTATACACTAGGATCGCATCGGTCTTAGCGTCGAACTTGTTTGTGAACATCCAGAGTAAATTTTGGGTCGTCTTCATTCAGGACATGATTCATTCTATTTTTCTAATGGACGGCTGGAATTATTTGTAGCTCGTAATGATATTCGCTTCTATGGCCGTTTCGGAGGTAGCAGATCCTTGGACATGGTTGCTGTGGAGGATGCACGTCCTTCCTTACGTGAGGTTCTCAGTCAGCGAAAATGTAATGACATCTACAACATGGATGAGACTGATTTGTTCTTTTTGATGCAGGTAAAAGCTTTGCAAAGGATATCACATTTTACTGTCTTCTATTGACTATGAACCCCTTCTGTTTCAGGCTGACAATTGAATGCAAATAGGCAGCTGGAGGGAAGGAAGCAAAACAAGGAACGTATTAGTGTGGATGTCTGATGCAATGGTTATGATTCCGACAGAATGCCCCTGTGGGTCATTGGCAAGTTCGACACTCCTCGCTGCTTTCGCCGTGTACATTTCCAGAGCTTCGGCTGTCAGTATCGCATCAACAAGAAGACCTGGACGTCACATATAATCTTCTTTGAGTGGCTGAGGAACTTACATCGGAGGATAGCACACTAAAAGGTGCTGCTAATCCTACACAACTGCAGCGCACACGTCCCGGTTGCTGATATGCCTCAGCGGGTCACACCTCGCAACACGACAATTTACTACATTCCGCCCAACATGACGTCAAAGCTCCAGTCATGCGACCAGGGAATC